GGGGTCTTTGGGGCCTTCCTGGGTCTGTTGTCACGCAGTCCAGTCCGGGAGGTCGTGCACCCGCCGCCAGGTGATCTCAGGCAGGCAGGCAGGCAGCTCAAGAGACCCCTTCCGGGGTCTTTGGGGCCTTCCTGGGTCTGTTGTCGCGCAGTCCGGGAGGTTGCGCACCAGCCGCCAGGTGATCTCCGGCAGGCAGGCAGCTGAGGAGCGATTCATTGATTCTTTATATTTAAGTCTCAGTTTCATTCGTTTCTGCCCTGATCTTTATAATTTTCTTCTTCGTACTAGATTTCACTTTGGATTGTTCTTGGTTTTCTACGATCTTGAGGCACAACATTAAGTGGTTTATTCAGGCTCTCTCTTTTTCTCATGTGGGAATTCACAACTATAAATTTCCCTCTTTGGACTGCTTTCATTGTGTCTTACAGGCTCTGGTATGTCATACTAGCATTGCTGTTTGATTCTAAGAACAATCTAATTTCTTTCTTTCTTTTTTTTTTTTTTTTTTTTTTATACTGGGGATCAAAACTCGGGACCTTGTGCTTGTGAGGCAGGCAGAGCCACTGAGCTAAATCCCCAACTCAGAACTGTCTAATTTCTCCCCTTGATTTCTTCTGGGACTCATTGATTATTCAAAAGTATATTGTTTAATCTCCACGTGTTTGCATAATTTCTGCGGTTTCTTTCATCATTTATTTCTAGTTTCAGTGCACAATGATCTGATAATACATAAGGGACAATCTTGATTCTTTTCTACTTGTTTAAGCTTTATGGGCTAGCATGTGATCTATTTTGGAGCAAGTTCCACAAGGTGCTGAGAAAGATGTGTATTCTGTTATTGGATTGAACACTCTATAGAGATCTATTAATTCCATTTGTGTGATGGTGTAGTTCAACTCCCATTCCATCAGACTTTTTGGTATTGTTGGCTTTGTCTAGGATATCCTTGAGAATTTTTTGTAGTGCTAGTTTTATGACCATGAATTTCCTAAAGTCTTCTTTGTCATGGAATAGCTTAATTTCTCCATCAATTTTAAAAACAGTTTTTCAGGATATATTAGTCCATGTTGGAAGTTGTTTTCTTTTATAGCTTGAAACACTTCATTTCAAACTCTCCTGGCCTTTAAAGTTTGTGTTGAAAAGTCTGATGAAATTCTAATGGGTTTATCTTTATAAGTGATTTTTTGCTTTTATCTGATACCTTTTAAAATACTCTTGTGTTGGACTTGGGATTTTGATTATGATATGTTATGGGGAGCTTCTCTGATCATAATTAGTAGGAGTTCCATATGCCTTGCTTAATTGGAATGGTGAGTTCTTTTCCCGTATGTGGAAATTCTGATATGATTTCTGTAAGCAGATTTTTTTTTTTATTCCATGCATGCTGCCCTCTAATTTTTCTCTATTTCAATTAGTCAGTTCATCTTCTAACATCAAGTAGTAGCACAAAAACAGACAATCCCTCCACCCCATCATCCTCTCAGACTGGGGTACACTATGTCCCTGCAACTTCCTGTTCACTGTAGTGTTGACAAGGGAAGCTCCCTGCCAAAGTCAGAGAGAGGCTGAAAGCCATGAACTGTGGGTATCACAGAGCTTGCTGACGGGAGCCTCAGATCACAGCTCTGGAGACATGGGAGAGGAGGAGAGGATCTTTCAACGAAAGATCTGAGAAGCATGATCTGGCCTCAAACTCACTGCAATCCTCCTGCCTCAGCCTCCCAAGTTCTGGGATTACAGGTGTGTGCCACCACACCTGGTGAAAAAACATTTTCTTAAAAACAATATTTTGCATATTAGACAGTGAACAATATTCCATTTTAATATGTATACCCTGGTGATTTTTCATTTAGATTAAACATGCTGGTATATAACAGTGCTTTCAATAGAGTTTTTAGACAAACTAGAAAATTCTCTCCCAGCAGATGATTGACTCTTTGTACTTTTTACTTTTTTTTTTTTTTGGTAAAGCTATTAGTTCTTCGTTAAACCTTTACTAACTTAAAACAGTGGTTGTCAGCATCCACTGCACATTAGAGTCAGCTACAGATCTCTAAAAATCTCAAGCCATGCTTCAATCTATTAAATCAATCCATGAGGGTGGGACACAGTTCAGTCAATGTTGAAACTACTAACCTAAAACTGCCTAAATGAGTAAGGCCTCATTATTAGACTGAGAAGAGAGTCGATATCAACCAGCCCAGTATATTCACAATAGGAAATAAACATCAGTCACGCGCTTCCCTTGCTTAACACAGGTCTCTGATGTAGAGCCCCCAGCCAAAACACTCCATCATTACACACTGGTATCCAGCATGATAAGCCCTCCTGTTCTCCTGTCCCACCTGCCTTGAAATGCTTTTGGAATCACACGAAAAGGGGATAAATACCTCAGAGAATCCTGAAAAAACTAGTATGAGGGTTCTAGGACAACACAAGTTCCTTTAAGCTCCTCATCATCTCAATTCCCTATTTAAATCTCTGAACCCTGTCTCCTGACCAAAACAACTCTTTACCATATAGTTCATGAGTATAAAACTCACTTGGACTTGGAGGACTCACAAATCCACTATTTGCTACAATGCAGTCACAAGGAACCTCTGAGCTCTGCTTCCAAACAGCTAGGAGATCACAACCAAAGAACCACATAGCTCCACATCTAAGAGGATGTCCAATCCCAAGTTCCAGCATAATCCAGCCCAGTAGTATCATCATCAAAACAAACCTCTCTTCCTTTAATTTGTGGGTGTCAAGTACTTTGTCCCAGTGACAGGAAAGTTGACCAATACCTATCCCACTACTGCCCATATTTATACTCCAAGTAAGCTTTATCTAGACTCTGCTGTTCAGACTGGACCTCTGAACACTGAATTGTTTACTGATTTTTCAATCTAGTGCTAGTGCTTTCATATGTAATTACATGCTGGCATAATCTAGATATTCGGAAGATTGACAAAAATATTCAGGTGCTATAGTCTCAAAATACCACATCTTCTGGGATCTGCTTTGTGCTACTACTGTCTAACAGAAATTATCTTAACTCTAATGCCTAAAGGCCAATAGTCAAGAATCATAGCACTGATGGAATCATCAAGGTTGTACTACTTTTCTGTTTAAAAATCATAAGAATAAAGTCCAAAAAAGTAATCTACAGCACCAGCCATCATTTACTAAATTAGTTTCTACTTACGTAACAATTATACCATTAATCTTTAAACCTCAACAATAGATCACTCCATAGATCAAGCCATAAATGTGTTTACTTATTCAACAGAGAAACAAGTCTGCCTTCTAGTAAGATTACATACTAAATAAGCATAGTGGCTATGGTAGTTTTATGGAAAAGGAGGTAGCCTCAATATATGGAAAAGCATTTGAGACTTACCCACAAGCTCCATCTTGGCAGGAACTAGCAAAAAAAGAGAATAGAAATCAGTAAATTTGGGGTGATCAAAAGAACTAAGATGTACATGTACCAATTCTTCATAATGAATGTAATCATTATATACTGTAACATGTTACTAATAAAAACAACAAATAAACAAAAAAATTGAGGGTGATTCTTGGAGTAGATGTGGCACATCTATTTTGCCAAACTTAAATTTAGGGAGGGAAAAAGACACTCACCTGCCTACCATTTCCTTTGTGTGAATCCGTTTCTGAGGAAAAGAAAGATATAATAATGACTGAGTTAAGAGCAATTATGAAACAGTAAATAAAGCTTATTTCAAAAAAACACTAATGCAATAACATAGTGGAATATATATTAATATTCTTTATTTTACGCAAATAATAAAAACAGACACTGAGATGTCAAGTTTGTTTTATGATGTGGGAGTATCCTAACATTCAGTCTGTATTTATGCACCCCAAAGTTATGTGCACTTTTTAATGGGTACAGAGATTAACAGATTTGATGTCAAGTAGTTCTGCTGGTAGCCTCACAAGCACAAGGTCCCGAGTTCAATCCCCAGTACCAAAAAAAGAAAAAGCGAGCTCCATTTCTTGTCTTTCTGGCCATCTCGAGCTGAGCTGCTTTCCTCTTCCACATGTTTCCACCATGATAAATGACTTTCTGAAAACCTAAAAGCATCCAGGTCAAATTACCAGAGACTGAAACCTCTGAAACCATGAGCCAAGATAAATCTTTAGTCTTTAAACTGATTTTTCCCAGTTATCTTGTCATGCAAAAGCTCACTAATACATTACTCTACAGTCTCTCCCAGAACAATCTCAGTCACTTTCATGGTTCTAACCACTACCACAGGACTGATGATTCCTGTAGCTATATTTACAACCCCCACCATTCTTTTTAACCTTATACCTAAATATCAAGAATTTAAAATTTCATACAAACAGCTCAAATAGACACATTCAAATGTGAACTTGTTTTCCCTGCCACATCTACAAAATTGCTTCTCTGACTTGGTTTTTGGTCTTAGTCACTAAATGTGGAAATTGAGAGGCCTCCTAGGCCATTCTTCACCCCATGCTATTCCCATCCAATCTATCATAGCCCTACTAATCTTGTTCCCTATTTATTTCTCTCGTGCTCCTTTTCTCCATCTCGTGATCTGGTTAGGAACTTCATTCTCAGGCCTGGAGTATTGAGGTAGCATTCCACTTGGATTCTCTGTCCCAGTCTTCTCCTGAGTAAGCCTTCCTGTGGTGTGTAGAACCATTATAGTGTCTAATGCTTAATGTCCTTATCTGTAAAATGAAGATAATACTACCTCTTTGTAAAGCTACTATTTATTAGATATAATGTTCCTAATGAGCTTAATACATATCCTGGTAGATATCAAATAAATGGTAGCTATTATTATAATTATAAACATTGAGCAGTTAAAAATGTGACAGAGAAAAATATACATTTGGCTTGAAACGTGAGGTACCAGGATTAAAAATTATGTCCATTTTAAAACAGACAAAAATCTGCATACTTTCAAAACGTTTATAACCCTACAAAATTTGTATTTGGTTTGCTTGTGTTTACCAGATCATTTTCTCTATATAACTTGCCCTCATATAATGAAATCTCTCCATAAGACCAAAAACAAAATAACTGTATGTCTCCACTAGAAATAAAAGCTTAAAATAGAAAAAATTTGGTATGCTATTACTTTAAAATGTACTCTGATTTGATTAGACTCAAATAAAAAAGCCCAAAGGTATTCATTCAATAATTAGTGTACAATTTTGTATGGTATATAATACAACAATATTTGAAATAATATTCATAAAGCTTATAAATTTACTTACTTCAATTGTTATTGCTGAAATACTTTTGGTTCAAAAATATCTACTGCATATTTACTATATCATAGAAATGCAAAAACTAACATGTAATGACATAATCTTTGCCCTTTTTTTTTTTTTTTTTTTTTTTTTGAGACAAGTTCTCACTTTATAGTTCAGGGTAGCCTTGAAATCCAGGCTGGTCTCAAACTCACAGTGATCCTCCTGCTTCATTCTCCCAAGTGCTAGGATTACAGGTGTGCCCACCACACTTGGCAATCCTTGACTTTTGACTCATAGTATATTAGAGAAATAGGACAGTAATAAAATGTAAGAACAACAATATTAAAGAATAAAGAAAGAATTGTGGAAACTCAAGGAATCAGGACACTAAATCTGCTAAACTGAGGTATAGTTCCTCACAAGGAAGGTTATGTCTGAGCTGAGGACAAATAGGACTTGAACAGATGGACAGAGATTCAAGGTATATCAGACAGCATAAACAATTTGAAACTCTGAAAAAAATCTTTGTTTGTTAAGAATACATGCATGCTATGTGAAAGGGAAAATGAGTACTTAACTTGTTTATATGCATGCTTATTTACTCTTCATTAAGAATAAAATACTGATTAAAACAAGTAAAATAAGCAAATCATAAATTGCAATCATATTTATGATTCCCTAAACATTCAATGAATTATATCCTCTACCTTAATTAGAATCATTGATATCTAGGCTGAATTAATATGTAAATTTATTTGGCAAAAATATCCGACTCTCACAGATCTATATTTATAGCCTAAAGTATTTGCTGAATTTTATTTCTAAATATATGTCTTTATATACAAGGCTGAGGCTGTTATCTGGATTAAAAATGTTTATTATAAAAGCCAAAACTAGAGATAAAAGACTAAGGTACACCCTCGGACAGCTCACTTGGCTTTAGCTATGCATACGTGCTCTTACAACAGTGCGACAATTCTTTCCCTCCTTGTGACATTTACCTTCATGATCAAGCTTCTATGTTCCACAGACTGGCTAAAATTTGTGCCCATTTCAAATATACTTGTGATTCCACCCTCACACAAATTCATCCAGTAACGATATTCCTCTCTCCCAGGTAGTCGATCCCAAAAAGTCTTGAAAGCTTCCCAGACAGCTTCCTGGCACACTGGAAAATGGACAGAGACATGTTTTTATAAAATGATAGCATACTTTGAGGTCTGCACAATGATCAAGGAAAGATTCAGATTTCTCTCAGACACTCCTGCCTATAGTGCACTTTTTTGAGGGGGAGGGAGCATGAGAATGATTAAAAGCTTTCCTTTATGTTAATTTTAGACATTTCAGGTCCACTGGGTGTGGTGACATATACCCATAATCCGAGGTCTCCAGAGGTTGCAGCCAGAGGCTTGCCAAGAGTTCAAAACCAGCCTTACTTCATAGTGAGTTCAAGGCCAACCTGAACTACACAGTGAGACCCTGTCTCAAAAAAAAAAAAAAAAATCAGTTCTGAAGAGAATTTGTTCTCCCTGCTCTTTTCCATTGCAAAGGGAATTGGCTGACCTCTTAATAAACTGAGGTTTTGTTTCCAATCTCTTTTTTAAATCCATGTTTATGCATTATAAAAGTGGATTTGATAAAGAACATACAGTATTTAATCAAGTGTTTCCATGATGGACACTGTGGGGGCTAGTTTTGTTTTGTTTGTTCTTGCTTTTGAGACAGAGTGTTGTTGTATATTCTAGATTGGCCTTGAACTCACTATGCTGGCCTCAAACTCGCAGTGATCCTCTTGTCTCAGCCTCCAGAGTGCTGGAATTACAAGCATGCAACACCACACCCAGCCCTTAATGGATTCTATGAGTTTGTTTCTTTAATGTTTACTGGTGTTTCCTGGTCACAACTTCAAAAACTAGCTTTTCAGCCTCTCAGGATGGCTTGGGAAAGAGATAATGACATTTAAATGGCCTGAAGTTAAATTGGAAAAAAGGCATGAATGCTTTGTATCCACTCCTTTGAAAATAGATCACATGTCTCTAATTTAAATAGGAATATTTAATAGCAGCTAGGAATGGAGTTCAGTGGCAGACTGCTTGCCTGCCATGTGTGAAGCCATGGATTCAATTCCAAGAACTGGAAAAAAATATTAGAAATTCCTCAAAGATCATGGAACGCTAAAAATAGTTTATAAAACTCAAAAAGGATGTTCATCTGGAGTTACTACTTTCAAACTACTACATTTCATAGCTGAAAACAGAAGATGGTGAGTCATTTTTATATATAAAAAAATGAAATTCAGCAATTGTGCCTTTGGGTATTTCCCTAAATGAACTAAAAATTTATGCTCACAATAAAACTTGTACACAAATATTTGAAGTAGCTTATCTATAATTGCTGAAACTTGGAGATGGTCAAAATATTCTTTAATAGGTAAATGGATAAACTCTGAATACCATATAACAGAACATTATTCAGAGATAAAAAGAAAGGAGCTTTAAAGCCATGAAAAGGCATAGAGAGAATTTAAGTGCATATTATCAAGTGAAAGAAGCTGATATGAAGAGGCTACATACTGTATGATTCCAATGACATTCTGAAAAAGGCAAGTAAAAAGATCAGTGCTTGCCAGGAGTGGGAGGGATAACTAAGCAGAACACATGGATTTTTAAGGCAATGAAATTAGCCTCTATGATATTATATCGGTATATTCATTGTCATTATACATTTGTCAAAACTCATTGAATGTATACCACAAAAAGTAAACTATGAACTTTACTTAATAATAATGTGTCAATATTATGTTGACTTACCTAGATATTCAAAGTACTCATCTTTTTTAATGTCATTTTTATTTTGTTTTTTGGTACCGGAAATCAAATTTAGGACCTTGTGCTCACAAGGCAGACCGCGGAACCACCGAGCTAAATCCCTGGCCCTTGAGGAACAGAAAGAGGCCAAAGTCCCTCCGTTTTAGCTAAACCAGATTAGATGCTCCATTAGTCGGGCTGACCTTTAAACTCTGCAGATAGCCTTCCATTGCCGAAGAACAGATTAACCAAAAACCAGGTTTTTCAGGAATTGCAACCGAGCAGTTTCCAAGAATCGCAACTGGGCGGTTTATTCCAGAAACTGCAGCCGGCGAAACCGGCTGTGGCAGTTAAATGACTAAGATAAATCTCCCGCACAAACCCCTGCCTGCGCCCAAATAGTAGCCAATAAGTTTAAAATATTACATCTTATAATATCCAATAGTAAATTAGAATTATAGGCCAATAGAATCAGCAAAAATTATAAAAAAAAAAAAAGCCAATAGAATAAAGAGAATTTCAAGCCACCCAAACCCTATAAAAATAGGCTAATTTAGTGGGTCAGGACTCCCAGTTTGAAGCTGCTGTGTCGGTGACACTGGAGTCCAGGCTCGAGCTTACAATAAACTCCTCATATATTTACATCAGAAGAGTTTCCTGGTGGTCTTCTTGGGGATTTCGCGACTTGGACACAATAGCCCTCATCTTTTTTAATGGAATGAATAATTACTGTCTTACCTTATCTGTGAAAGTACTTTGTAAATTGCAGTGTGATGCATGAATATAATTATTACAGGTTGAGTATCTGTATCTAAAATGCTTGAGGATAGAAGTTTTCAGATTTCTGATATTTTAATATATATATATAATGCAATATCAAGGATAGGGTCAAAGCAAAAAATTCATTAATGCTTTATCTTTATACACATAGCCTGAAGGCAATTTTATGTAGTACTTGTTAGGGAATTGATCATGTTAAAGTATGTTGTGACACAGTCATTTTGGATTGGACTTCCGGGTTCTTCTTCCCCTAAACCCCTGTCTTGAGTTCCCTATCCCCAAGACCACTTCAGCATATAAAATGAAAATTTAAAGCTTCCTGCAAGGCTCCCTCCTTAAAAGACAACTTGGCTAGGATAGGCTAAGAGCAGCCTACTCCACCCTAACAAGGAGGTCTTTGGCTCCAAGACCCATAAAGAGGCCAGCACTTCCTCATCTCTCTCTCTCATAGGAAGTCAGGTATAGATTTTCTATTTTTTTGTTTGTTTGTTTTGGTTTTGGTTTTCTTGAGACAGGGTCTCACTATGTAGTTGAGACTGAACTGGAACTCACTATGTAGCCCAGGTTGGTCTCAAATCACAGCGATCCTCCTGCTGGGATTACAGGTGTGCACCACCACTACCGGCTTGGAATTTTCTATTTGTAACAAAACATTAGTGCTTAAAATATTTTGAATTTTACAGAATTTCAGATTTGCAGATTAGGGATGATCAACTGTACCATGTTGCATTCTGGTTGTTTTATGGTTCAGTGATGGAAGAAAATAGTCAAAACCCAAAACAACTCTTAAACTTTAGCAAAGTGTGAAATACGTGAATATTAAATTTTTTCTATCAATTGATTTTTCATAGCTAACTCAAACCTTTGGTTACAAATGTAATTTCGCTTTCAGTAAACTGACAGCACACTTTTGCAATACTTACTATATTATTATTATATGCTATTTAAAATGTTTGACTAATCCAGCATACAGAAGGCACTGAGGCAGAGCTGACCCACTTATAGATCACAGTTTGACTTTCTTCTTAAAACTTCCACATATGGGCTGTGGATTTAGATCAGTGGTTCTGCTGCCTGCTTCTCAAGCCCAAGGTCCTGAGTTCAGATCCTCAGTACCAAGAAAAAAACAAAAACAAAACTTCTACAAAAAGTTAAGTAAACAGTAAAAGAAAATTCAAAGATAAAAAACTGATTAAAAAAAAAACATGCTGATAAAAAACAAAAAGTGAATGCCTATAACATCATTTAGGGAAATAACATGATTCAGAGAAAGTATAAAAATATTGTTAGATCAAATAATTACATATCTAAAGAGAAAAGAAAAATCTAAATCCTTTCTTCAAACTATACACACAATTTAGCTATTGTGATTTACAGAAGTAACTCATACATATATATAGTCACCTGATTTTCAGCAAGGGTGCTAAAACCATTAGTGTAGAAAGAACAGTCTTTTCAACAAATAATGCTGGGACAACTAGATTCCCATATGAAAAGCATAATATCTGGACCCTTACCTCACATCCTATACCAAAAATTAACTCAAAATTGATCAAAGACTTAAATTTATAAGCCAAAACAGTAAAACCATTACAAGAAAAGACAGAATTAAAGAAAAAAATGTGAGACAATGAAAAGATGGAAATAAAGTGGCTGTAGATGGGGAGGGGAGGAGGGGGTGAAGGGAGGGCAGGGGTAAGGGGAAAAAATGAGAATCAAGACTTGTCATGCAGAGGTACAAGATCCCAACAATGAATGTAACTGTACTGTATCCCTAAAATGTACCAATAAACTCAATTAAAGCTGAAAAAAAAATCTTTATGACCTTGTGTTTGGCAGGGAATTCTTTTTTAAAACACAAAAAGCACACACAGAATTGGGCGTCATCAAAATCAAAAGTTTTTGACTGAGAAAATCATAAAGTAAAAAGTGTGGGACTGTAGCTCAGCGGTAGAAGAGTTGACTGGCATATGGTCCTGTGTTCAATCCCCAGCCCTGCCAAACAAACAAAGAAACCTAAGTGAAAAGTCAATCCTTAGGAAGGGAGAAAATAACCGCCAGGCATGGTTCACGCCTATAATCCCAGCACTCAGGAGGCCAAGGCAGAAGGATAGAAAAAAGTTTGAGGGCAGCCTGGGCTACACAGTGAGTTCACAACCAACCTGACCTTAAAAAAAAAAAAAAAAAAAAAAAAAAAAAAAAAATGTGGGAGGGATATTCTCAAACCATCTATCTGGTAAGAAATTTACATCCAGAATGTATGAAGAGCTCAGGTTACTCAATAATAAAAAGACAACCCAATTTTTAAAATGGGAAAAGAATCCAAACACTTTTTTAAGATATAAGATAAACCACTAAGCATATGAAATTATGTTCATTGTTATTAGGAAGAAGGTAGATGAAAATCAAAATCACAATGACATTCCACTTTACACTCTCAAGGATAGTTATAAATAACAGTTCTGGCAAAGACATAGAGTAATCAAAACATTTATACACTGTTGGTGGAAATATAAAATGGTGCGGGCACATTGTAAAACAAGCTGACAGTAGCACCAGAAAAATTAAATACAGTACTTAG